AAAAACTCATCATTATATTAAAATTAATAAAATTAATATTGGTATTTCATGCTGAAAGAGCAATTGAATTTGCACGAGGTTAATTGCTTTTGGAGTAATTTTACTAATTGCAATAATTTTAAATTTCCCTTCATTTTAATATAATCAAGGATGAAACTTCACGTCATTGACTGTAGAAAACTTATCTTAATTAATAACTTTGTTATAGCTATTTATTTAATCACAATAGAAATATATTCTACACAAGTAAATGCTAAAACTTGTCTGATTAAAAAAAAAAAAAAGAAGCTAAAACTTGTATTAATAAAGAAAAACAGATTAAATAGGTATAGACATAATCACCAATTAAAGGAAAGGTTTATCTTTACATTCGACTGAGTAAAATAAAACTTTTTATTGTCATTTTTACTCTCAGACGATGAGATTACCGAAACAAGTGGTGCATGAGATTCTATCAAGATTAAAAGACAATGAAACTCAAGCTCTCCAGACTCATGGTATTGCCGGAGTGGTGCACAATCGGTATACGGGGCAAATTCTAATTATATTATTTAGATAAAATTATTATTATTATTTTAAATGTTCAATGCCCATGGAAATATTTGTAACGGGTTCATGGAGGAATATCTCCCAACCCTCCAATAATAATCAATAATAAATTATTAGATGTGTTGATCAGTATATATAGAATTATAATTGTTTTATCTAAACTCGCAAATCTCATCCACAAATTTCATCTATACTAGCGAATTTAATTATCTTTTGATTCTTTCTCTTGAGAAAGATGAATCTTGCTTGTGATTTCTTAATTCAATGATTCCAAAATACATTTGGTTTTGAAAATGAAGCTGAGCAAGAAAACATGGCACGTCTGATTCCTCACACTATTGAAGGATTAAGAGATATTCTTTCACAATTTTATCACAAATGTTTCCATGTGTATTGAACTTTTAAAATAATATTTTATTTAAATAACGTAATTAGAATTTAAACCTTGCATGGACTGTGCGCCATTCCGACAATACCATGAGCTTTAAGAGCTTGAGTCTTATTATCTTTTTTTCTTGCACGGCTTGTTACCAAAAATAAAAGATGATAAAACTCAAAGTTCTCAAGGCTCATGATGTTGCTAGAGTAATGCATAGTTAGTACAAGATTTAAGTTTTAGTTACATTATTTAAACAAAATATTATTTTAAAGATCTAATACACATGGAAACATTGTGAGGGGATCATGGAGGAATATCTCCCAATCTTTTAATAGTAGACGTGCCATTCTTTCTTGCTTTGCTTTATTTTCAAAACTAAACGTGCTTTACAATCGTTGAATTGAGGAATCACAAACAAGATCCATCTTTACCAAGAGATGGAATTGGAAAACGATCAGATTGACTCACGTAGATGAAATCTATTGATGAAATTAGCAAGTTTAGATGAGACAATCATCGTTCTATATATACCGGTAAGCATACCTAATAATTTCTTGTTGATTATTATTTTTAATGATGAAAGAGTAGACTTGCATGACCTACCGTACGTGAGTCTTCGAATTCACGGGAATCAGGATCAAGTGAACTAACAAGAAAATGGAAAATCTAAACATAATAAAAGACATAATTGTCACCGCCTGCACATTTAAAAAATTACACCTTTGTTTCGTATACAATTGTTTTTATTCTTTGTAAAAAAAAAAAAAACAGTATATTCAGGTAAAAAGAATTTAGAAACTTAGGTCTGCAAGTAAGACTATGGGACCTAGAAAGGGAGAAGAGGAAGAAGATCTTGAAGATTGATTGGCAAAGAAGAAGAAGAAGAAGAGAACAAAGAAGAAGAAGAAGAAGAAGAACAGTACTCACAGTCGGACTGTAGCCCAGGATGGCCACGGAGGACTGGGTCTGGAGATGGGAGGCGGGAGCTCAGTGAACAGCGACTGAACTGAGGTGAGAGAAGTCAGAAGGAGTAGAAGTAGTGAGTGTGAATAATATTTTGTGTCATAATATTAATAAATTAAATAAAAAATTATAATTATTTAAGTTAATCGCACCCAGAGGCAGTTATGATTCTGTCTGTCTATGATACGCAAGCTAAAGATACGAGAGTACAACCAAAGTGAACGTTGTATTGCTTCCTCTTGAAAACATTAAGAACTCTGAGCACCCTGCAGCTAAACCCAGTACGCAAATGACATCAGAGTTGTTCTTCAGCCACGTGAAATTGTACCATGTCACTTCTAAAGAGCTTTTTTGCTGTTCACCCAATGGACCACTTCAATTAGAAGCTGATCACGTGAAATAGGATGATATTTTTGTAAGAAAATTATCCTTTTTTTTTAAATGTTTTTATCCAAGCAGTGAAAATAATAAGTTTTTAAAAATAATTGCTTATCAGTTACCACTCAATCATTCTTCAAAACATCAATGCATTTGTGACACAGTAATATTTAAAATTATCTTCAATAAAAAATTAATAATTTTATATTTTTTTCAAAGTGAAAAATAGTACCTAATTGAACTAATTGGATGTGTGGATATTTTTAAAAATAACTAATTAATACTTCATTATTAAATCTTATAATATGTCTTATGTTAAAGATGAAATAAAATTTTTAAAGAATGTCTCGCGCTTAATTACGATGGAAAATAAATAAGATGGACGAAAGATTAAGCAATGAGATAGCCTTTCGGATCTAAGAAAGGAAATGTAAACATTAAACAACCACAGTGAACCTTCTTCAGACTATATAAATGAGAAGTCTGAGCAAAAGTACAGCTACATAAATGAAAAGCCTCAGTGACAATGAATATGTTAAAAAATATTTATTAATTAGGAGCAATGATTTTAAAGCCGGACCAGACTGAACGGTCGGACCGATCCGACCGTTGGCCGGTCCACATTCCGGCTCGGCCAGAAGGGAAAAACCGTGTGAGATGTTGAGCCGGGTTGAGCCGGCCAAAACCATCAGTTGGGCCGCGAATCGGGTTTGGTTTTTAAAAGCCGGACGGTTCTATTTTTTTTTACCCCATATATTTTAGAAAGAATCTAGAACAAACTGCAGAGTCACAGACACAGAGGAATACCGCATGCACGCTCAGCTCTTAGCTTGCAGCTCGCAGGTTAGTCACGGTTTCAGATCTCTCATCTCTTTGAGCTACAAAGTCACGGTTCGGCACCGATTTTCTGGCTTCTTGTTTAGACTTTCAGATCACTTTCATAATCGCTGCATCTGGTTTGGCTTCCTGTTTCATTTCTCGGTTTCACAGTTTCAGTTCAGAGTTGCGAACTGTGAAGTCACGGACTCACGATCGGCGCATCTGGTAAATTTCTGATTTAGGATTTGATTGAGGTTTCTGTGCTGACTGCTGAGTACTTCTCTTTAATTTTTATCTGTTTATTTTGTTTCTCCATTTTTGATTATTTGCGGTTTTGTGAGTGTGTCTGTGTGTGCATTGACTTCTTAAGGATTGAAAGAGATTTAACAGGAATTCCCAGTATTATGGAAGCTGAAGAGATTGAAAGAGTTGGAAGATTCTGTTTTGTATCGAAATTGATTTTATCCGCTATTTTTAGGGCTCTCACGGGATGTTTTGCCATGGGTAATGAAAGCTGTTTTCTTCTTCAACTTCGATTTACATGTGATCTAAGTGAATTGAATTATCCTTTGCTTATAATCTTTCTCTTGGTTACTTCGGCTTCTTAAAAAAAATTAAAGACCCCCCGTTTCATTTTCTCTTGGTTTCTGTATAATTCTTGACCCTTGCTGTTATCAATTGGAAAATCGGGAGTAACTTGGATTGAAACTAGATTGAGTTATGTTGTTGTTTGCTTCTTACTTCTCTAATCGATTATGGTGAAATTTCATTGTTATTTTAATAGCATCTCTTGTTGCTAATTTGTTAAAGCAGCATGTCTTATTAAGCTAACATCTGTCGGCATGCAATTCCCTAATGCAGCGGGAATATACTCAGCACAGACACATTTTCTTTGAGCTTCGATTTCAAGCTTCCCACTATGACTTCACTAAAATTTTTTATTTTTTCCAGAGCTGTGACTTTACTGAATTGATTAGGTCTTTTAACGACAAATCTAAATTTTGCCTTGTAGAAAATGACATCTGAAAATGCTTCAACTACTGCATCAACACAATCTGTTAGATCAAAGACAGATCCTACATGGGAGCATTGTGCTGAGGTCAAGCTCCCATATGGCAAAATTCGCCTAAAATGTTTGTACTGTGTAAAAGAATTTGCTGGTGGAGGGATTCATAGAATGAAACAACATCTTGCTGGAAAGAAAGGGGATGCAATAAGTTGCAAAAAGGTGCCTGTTGATGTTCGCTATCGACTTGAAGAAAATTTAAAGGAGATTAGGGAGAATAAAGGCAAAAGGCAAGATAGTTATGAAGAGGACAATCCATATGGCCCTAATGTCACACCATTAGAAAGTCATGATGGAAATTCAGAAGAAATTTCTATTCCTCAATCTCAAACCCTCAAGGAAATTCAATCACAAAGTCAAACGCAACTTGAAAAAAGAAAGGCTCCTATTGACAAATATTTTGCACTAAGAACAACCCCAGGAGCACAGCCAGGGATACGAAGTGCGCTTGCAGGTAAAGAACCTATACGTAGGGCAGACATGGCTTTTGCTAAGTGGATGTATGATTGTTGTATCCTATTGAATGTTGTCAATTTAGCATTCTTTTAACCTATGATTGATGCGTTTACAGCTATTGGCCCTGGTTATAAAGGGCCAAGTTATCATGCCATGAGAACTAAATTACTGCTTGATACTAAAAAGGAAGTTCAATAAATGGTTGATAGTTTTAGAAACTTTTGGGATGATACTGGTTGTACAAGCATGGCCGATGGTTGGCAAGATCAATCAAATAGGCAATTGATTAACTTTCTTGTCTATTCTCCTAGGGAAATTGTTTTTATTAAATCTGTTAATGTATCGCACATAGTCAAGGATACCTAAAATTTGTGCAACTTGTTCACTGAAATGGTTGACTTTTTTGGAGTCACAAATGTTGTGCACTTGGCAATTGATAATGCAGCTAATTATAAAGCTGCTAGGCGGTTATTATGTGATAAATTTCCTTTTATTTTTTGGTCTCCTTATACTGCACATTGTTTGAACTTGATTTTAGGAGATATCGGTAAAATGGATATTGTGATTGGCTTGACAACACGTGCATCTATGGTGACAAAGTTTGTTTATAATCATGCCTTTTTGCTTGCTTGGCTGAGAAAAAGAGAAGGTTGGACTGAAATTATTCGCCCTGGGGTGACACGATTTGCTACCACTTTTATTGCATTGAGAAGTATTCATGAGCATAAACATGATTTGCAAGCCTTGGTAACTAGCAAAGTATTTTTAGATTCTAGATACTCAAAAGGAGAAAAGGCAAAGGATGTGACTTTAATAGTGTTGGACAATCAATTTTGGAATGATTGTAAAATTATGATCCAAATTATTTCACCACTTATTTGGTTGTTGAGGATTGTTGATGCTGATGAGAGGCCTTCACTTGGGTATGTATATGATGGCATGTACAAGGCAAGAAAAACTATCAAGAATATATTAATGAATAAAAAGCCCTTGTATAAGCCTTACATAAGGATTATCAAGAAAAGGTGGGATTCTCAACTTCGTCAGAAGCTTCATGCAGCAGCTTATTTCCTAAATCCTGTGTTCTTTTATGATAAGCAGAGCTTTTCTAAAAAGCCAGAGGTTATGGCTGGATTTCTTGATGTTTTGGATAAGACAGTCACTTCTAACAAAACCAAGTTTGTGCAAGAAAGTTTGTTGTATTAAGATAGAGTTGACAGCTTCAGTCATTCCTTGGCCATTTCATCTAAAAACTCATTGCGGCCAAGTAAATTTTAATGCTTTTTTCATTTAACTTTAATACTTTTTAGTTTTTATAGTTCTTACTTATGTTTATCTTTGATGCTAAATTTTGCAGATGAATGGTGGAAAATGTTTGGTGATAGTGCACCAAATGTTAAAAAATTGGCAATGAGACTCTTAAGCCAAACTTCATCTTCATCTGGTTGTGAAAGAAATTGGAGTGTTTTTGAAAGAATACACTCTAAAAAAAAGGAATAGGTTAGAGCATAAAAGGTTAAATGATCTTGTGTTTATTCATTACAACTTTCGTTTGAGAAATAGGTATATCATTTAATTATAGCTAAACTTTGTTTAACATGAGTTTAATTATAAGTTAACTTCTAAAATTTTAATACTTTGGTTATGTGTTTTAGAGTTTATAACAAGAAAAGATCTTTTGATCCTATTGATTATGAAAGTATTGGTGACATTGAGTATTAGATCATGGAAGATGAAGATTCTCCCACCCTTAATTATGATGAGATAGAAGAAGCTATGCTTTATGATGATACAATAATTCCACAAGTTTCTATCAATCAAGATGAAGGTTTGATCTTTGAAATTTTTTAGTATTTAGTCATGTTATTTTTTTTCTTATAATATGTGTTACTTATTAATTTTAATATTTGATTTGTTACATTATTTAATAAAGGTAATAATGAAGGAGGAGGCAATGAGGTTTCGTCTGGGAGTGGATGTTCAATCATAGAAGGACTTGATTTGAGATCTTTTGCCCAAGAAGATGTTGAAACTTATAATGATGATGATTTACGGGAAACTCATGCTTGGCTTAATCAGGATCCACCAATCTTTGACAAGTCATGAATAGATAAATATGATGTTATGCTTGTTTAAATTGTTGGTGTGTTGTGTTGTATTGCCTTGTTAGTTGTTATTTTGTCATATGTTGAAGTTGAAGTTGAAGTTGACTATTTATCTTAATATTTTAATTATTTGATGTTTTTTTATATTATTATATAGATATATAATTTTTAAATTTAATTACCGGTTGGACCATACGAACCACGGACTGCTGTCTTCTCCAGTTCAATATCCGATTCGATTTTAAAAACATTGATCAGGAGTATCAATAACCGAAGAGATATCATGCGGATAGAGGAGTATCAATGAATATCTTTTTTTCAACATATTAATACTGAATAACTATATATCCAAACATCTATCAATAATCTATACTAAAAGTAAGTGTTTTCCTTTGATTAAAAAAGTGATAAATCTTTCAAAAAATATTAATTGAAAAAAAATTTAAAATATTTTTCTCTCCAATTTTTTTATAAGACATTCCTATCAATTTTATTAATATCAAAAAAGTTTATTAAAAATAAAAGTTAACAAAAATTTATTAAATATTAATATTTTTGATACTAAATAAAGAGGGTCAAAATAGTTGTTGAAAAAGCTTTCTTCCAATAGCGTTGAAAATATTATTTTAATCTTGACATGATACTTTGACGGTCATAATTATTTGTAAAAAATTCTATTATTTTTTGACTTTAAGTTATGCCCGTCAATATTCTTAAGTTGAAAATGCTGTATTTTGCTGTAGTGAAGATAGCTATACGAAAAGAATAGAAAACAGCATGTAATATTCACTTAGCCATGCGATATGTGCTGCTATTACTTTCCCCTCTTGTATTTGTTCAGAGCAGCATTTATCATTAAAATGACAAAAATTAACTTAAACATCACATTTAATATTTATTTTTTAAAAGTAAAAGAATAGATTGTTTCCTAAATTATTAGTTCAAAAATATTTAAAATTCTAAATCATTTTTTAGAATATTTTATTTTAATTTTTTAAAAATAATATAATGTCACTCTTATCATTGTTAAAAGTAAACTCTAATTGTTAATTAATTTAAAAAGAATTTTAAAATTTAAAAATAAGATCAATAAAATTTTATTGATTTTTTCTGTAAATTTTTTTGAATTCTTATTTATAATTTTTGAATCTTTTATTATAATTTTAGTTCTTTTTTATAATTTTTAAAGTCATTTTTATTATTTTTTATTAACATTACATAAAAAATAAACTTAAAATTCCAGACATCCCGAGGGCACTAATTAATATTAAATCTTTTTTCTATTTATAAAATAAAATTACTATTTATAGGAAGTGAATTATACTTTAAATTAATTATTTCTTATAAATTCGTTTGCATGGGGTATAACCTTAGTTATTGGTGAATTATCTCATGTGAAGAAGATGGCTAATTTTTTGGCCTTTTGTTCAAACAATGTTTTCAAGAGCTAGATTGGACATGCTAATAAAAATTATAATATAAATCCCTTCATTTAAAAAATGTAAAATATTTTTAATTAAATCTCATCTCTTAATAAAATAATTATTTATCTTTAAGTTAATACTATTTTTTTATATTTATCCCTATTTAATAGAGTGTTTCACCTTAAAAATATAAAATGATCTATTTAATAGAGACATTTAAAAAAGTATAATAATTACACTTTGAAAAATTAAAACTTACATTTTCAAATATCTAACCCCTTTAAAAATACTTTATATTTTTTAACAAAAGGAGTAAGTTTTTATAAAAAAATAGAGAAAGTATGATATATAAAATATTGTAACATAAAAAGTAAGTGTGCATTTGGTTTTTAGTTTATTAAAAGTTCATTTGGTAAAAGTTCATTTGGTGAAAGTCAGTTTAGTGAAAGTCAGTTGTTGTAACGAAATTTGTGTTTGAATATATTTTTTCAAAAGTCAGTTTGATATATTGAAAGTTGTTTAGTTTGTGATAGTGAAATGTGCTTTTAAGTGTATAATTACCAAAAAGGACATTAATTTATAATGATTTATAATTTTTATTATACAAATGTAATATATTTAAAATATTTAAAAATATAATAAAGATTTTAAATAACACAAATTTTGATCTATAATGTTAAAAATTTGATATCTAATTATTTGTATTTTTTAATTTGTAATTTTAAAAGATGTAATAAAGATTTGTAATTTTTAATATACATTAATGTTAAAAATTAATATGATTAATTATTCAATTTATAATACTAAAAAAATTGATAGCTAATTATTATTATTAAAATAATAATTATATTTTTAATGAATTAACTATTTTTTAAATAAAAGAATAAGAGATTAAACTTAGGGTAGTATGGTCAAATAACATCCTACTTTTCAAATCCACTTTTCAAAAGCTTTAAATAGTTAAGTTTCAGAAATTCACTTTAGCTACTGTTTGAATGTACTTTCAGGATGTGCTTTCCTATGAAATATTTTACCCAAACAAGTTTTAATTTTTTGAAAGTAAAATTTTACTTTCTGAATATGAAATGAAGAAAAATCAAACGAACCCTAAATTGACACATAAATTGCATGTTCAAAGGTGTTAGGTAGTGGCGAACACGCATACATTTGAGGGTGGGCAATCGCCCCTCGTGATGCTTCATATAAATATGAACTGAATTTTAATTTGCCTTCACTTATATGTTGGTCTTGAATTCATCAATCAAGAGAAAAATAAGGGAGGGAGGGAAGGAGATGTCAATCATCTAGATTTCAGTATAGAATTAAGGTGTAAAATTTGTCAAGGGAAAGAAGTGGTATAATTGAATCTAGAACTTTAAATTTAAAATATTAGAAAGAGTGAAGTTAATAATGAGATTGTGAAAGTTTGCTGCATTAGGTAATTAAGATTTTAAAATAATTTAAATAATATGAAAATTTTTTTTACTTTTAATTCTTATATTTTTAGTGGAATCATTTATTTTATTTTTAAATTTTCTACATTTTTACTAAAATCATTTGTATAGTTTAAAATAATTTTAATCTTTATATATTCAATTTATTATTTAATTTTTTTAGCAAATCAAGCTGTTATACATGGTAGGAAGTTTGTTATTATTTAAACAAGTTGTTAGAGTTTGAATATCAATTTTTGTGCATGCACACAATAACACCTAGTTTATTTGGTTCTATACACCGTAAATTAAATTTTGCTATATATCATTTGTGTCTTACCAAGATTAATGTTGCCCCCACTGACCTCATGTCCTACATTTGCCATTGTTTTTGGGGATTTTAAACTCATTTTTTTAATAATACTTTCTTTCAACTTTTGAAATAGTGCAACATGACCCCTGTCACTAATAAAAATTAATTTTGATCATCAATTAACTAGACAATAATAAAAAAAGATTAAAATTATAAAAAGGATCAAATAAATTTTTTTTATCATTTTCTGTAATTTTTTGAGTCTTTTTCTATAACTTTTGGATTCTTTATTTTTTTGTTATTTTCATTAATTTTTGAGATCATTTTCCATCATCTTCTGATTAACTAATATAGTAAAAATTAACTTTTGTTCTCAATAAGGGTTAAATTACATCATTTTTAAAAGTTTAAAGAGAATAATATATTAAAAATAAGTTTACAACCCCTGACAATCTTAAACCTATAGTTTAGAGGCCAATTTGCCAAATATAATGTATATGCTTATGTTAACTAAAAACAATCAATATTTACTTATGAAAAAAAGGCTTATTGTAATAAATAAGATTGTATTAAATATATAGTAAAATGAACTAAATAATAGAAAAATAGTGCTAAACATTAAAAAAAATAATATTGAACAATTTATATTTTTGAACAAGTTAACTAAATAAAAATATTTTTTAAAAACATTAAAATAAATATTTTATAAATTATATAATGTTTGATTTGAAAAAATAATCTCACAGTCATAAGTTTTTGATCATTCACGTGGGCATTGAAACATAAGTGGAAAACAAGAATTTGGGTCACAAGTGCAAGGAGAGATTAAGAGGAATGTTAATATCAATCGTGCTTCTCATATTAGTAAGGAATTAGGAATTCCCCTTATGGAAAATCTTGAGAAATATCTCAAAATTTCACAAATACATGAAAAAGCTTCTAAGCTTACCTTACACCTCTTCGTGATAAGATGAATTCACCCTTAGCTAACTGGAGAAGCCGTTATCTAAATATTGCATGAAAATTGTGCTTATCAAATCTGTCCTTTCTGCTTTGCCTAGCCATATCATGCAAATATGCTCTTACCTAACAACATTTTGGTTGAATTGGAGAAAATATCTAGAAATTTTCTCTGGGATTCTTTGGATGGAAACAAAAAAACGTCATCTTCTTTCTTAGAATTACATCACTTCTGACTAAAAGGATAGGGGCCTTAGCATCAAAAAGTTCAAGAGTCAAAATATTATATTTATTATGAAACTTTGTTGGGGCCTCATTACCAAACTGAATTGTCTTTGGGTATGAGTCTTACACGACAAATATAAATATAATAAACCCGTAATCCCGATAGTTTTTAGACCTAGCTCTTGTTCTTTTACCCAGAGCAGCATATGCAAAGTTTGGGATAAGTTCACATCACAGATAGGTTGGAAAGTAGGCAAAGGAAATCAAATATTGTTCTGATATGATAAATGGTCCCCTTTCTCGGATCCTCTTGTCAAATATGCTTTCCATAATACCGACTCTATTCTTCATGCATGAGTCTTACATTTCAGTAATACCACAAGAGCCTGATATTTTGATCTTTTGAAATGCTACCTTCATCCTGAGGTCATTAGACAGATTGTTCTTGTTCGATCTCCTAACCAACAGGGTGATAAAGATGTCCTTATTTAGAGAGCTTCCTCTAACGGTAACTTCTCTATTAAATATAAAGATTTATAAATCCAAAAAGACCAAAATCTCTCTGACATTTGGTCCAAGATTTGAAAATGGCCCACCTACGAGAAAATTAAATATTTCCTTTGGAAGGCCACTTGGGACTTATCTA